TACTGGCGAAGGTACTAGCATTATTATTTCATTCAGTTTTTATTGAAGATGTCTTAAAATATCGAATACGATGAGAAAATAGCGGCGCCTCGAGGAGCACCTATAATTCCTCATCAAAAAGAAATATTAACAGACTTCCTTCTATGCAATGAGCTATTACTATCAGGCAAGTTCAGTAATGAATTTACCAAAAAACAAGCCCAACAATTGTGGATAGAAGTTACAAGCACTTTAAATGCTATTCCTGGAGGGTCAAAGAAAACCTGGGTCCAGTGGAGAAAGGTATATCTAAGTTTATAATTTTTTCAGAGCTTGGGAAGTTCTGGGACTCACTCTACCAAACACTCAGTTTGTGTTAGTTATATAGTCATACGTATTTATTGAACTTTTTAGACATGGCAGGATATGAAAAAAAATGTGAAATCGAAGGCTGTAGCAGAAAAACGCTATGCTTCAGGAACAGGTGGTGGCCCAGTAAAAGTTATAAAATTTGATGACACTGAAAATAAAATATTGAATATTTTATCGCCGAAGGCTACGTTTGGCGACACACTTGTACCCATTCCAAATGTGATATTTGAGTTTGTGCAGGTAAGTTTATCTAAAAGTTATACATAATAATTTGGGCAAGACTTTTATTTTTTTATTTTCCAAACTGCCATCTAACGTATACCTACATTACCTAATTTTGTATAAAATATTTTTTATTGTCCCAGACTTCTTCTGACTCAGCTCTTATTAAAGAAACCGAATCTGGAAACTCTCATTTGGAAGCTACTAATAATGAACCTAATGATGAAGAACCTATAGTAAGTAGTTTCTTTATTTTAGAGCTGGTAAACCTAAAGTGTTCTTTTATTACAGTTAATTATAGAAAAAGGAACAGCTGAAATGCCCAACAAAAAGTTGACCCCAAAAAAACGTTTGATTAAAACTAAGATGTTAGAAGAGTCTGTTCAAGTTTCGAAGCAATTAATAAGTATTGAAGAGGAAAAGAAAAAAGAAAGCACTAAATACTATGAAGAAAAAATAAAATATATCAATTGGAAGAGAGAATATGAAAAAGAAAAGTTAGAATATTTAAAAAGTTCTTTTCAATGCCAAAAAGATCTTTTAAAGGAAATAAGAGAAATCAAACAACATTTTTTACCATCGTAATTACTATTATGTATAATTTATAAGTGTTTTTTGGATTATTATTGTTGAAAATTTATTATATGGAAGTATCAGGATTTTGATATTATTATTAATTCTTGCCCTGACGAAGGAACAAAATAGTTCCGAAAGCTTGGTACTTGTATAAAAGTGTTACTAATATAATTGAACTGACCGAAATCCTGTTATTACTTCCATATAATAAATTTTCAACGGTCATTATCTATAGGTTTAGAAAATGTTCCTGTTATTTAAATATAATATTATAATAGTTCTAAATTATTTTGTATTATTGGCCTACCTAATAAATTATTAAATATATGTATGTATATTATATTTTTCATTATTTATTATTACAGAAACATTTTGACCAAAAATTTGAGCACATAAATTAATTAAAATGATTTGCTGCTATCTGCCTTTGAAGTCTCCTAGCAATAGTCAAATCAGGATTAATTCTGTTGGTCAGTCTTTCTTCAATAAGCTGATCATGGTATATGCCAAAGTCTATATGTTGGTTGAAATCAATATCAGGCTCAGGTATATTTGCATCTAAGCACATATTATGGAGTACACAACACGCGTTTATTATTTTGGAAGCTCTAGTAGGGGTATAGTGCAGCACCCTATGTTTTAACAGACATCTGAATCTATTTTTTAGGACACCATTACATCTCTCGATGCCACATCTAACAGTCTTTAATCTATTATTAAATTGTTCTTCTGCAGCATTGTTTGGTTCTGCTTCTAGTGGTGTTAATAACCAAGGCCTAAGAGTGTAACCTATAAAAAAGAAAATACCTTAAACATAAACTTCTAATAAAAATAATGTACAGGGTGGCCCAAATTCGAGCCTCATCATTGTGATATGGGAAACCGTAAGAGATACAGGGTCGGTTAAATTATGGCAAAGTTACGCAATTTTATGACCAATAGAATGCCGTTTTGAAATTGGATAGATTCCGAATGCTTCTGGAGATATTCGGAAAAAACCGAAATTTTGTAAAATCCTTTTTAATTTTTCCTGGGCTTATTTGACGAGCAATTTCAAAATAAATATCACTTCATCATTGTCACTTGTTTCCCTGTAGAAGATGTTGCTACTAAATTCAAAGTTCGACTTTTCGTCTTCAGGCGGCCATCATCAACTTACTTTTTTTAAATACGGATCTGGATTTTTTATTTGCGATTTTGTCATCTTTGTTTATCCTTAAACCGATAATGTTTATAATTTTTCAATAACACAGTAAAAAAAAGCAGGTCCGTATTTAAAAAAAATAAATTGATGATGATCCCAGAGGAACGAAACGTTACAATGAGAATGTGTAATTAGTTTTTCAAAATCTTTTTAAATAAAATCAGGAAAAAATTTGAAAAATACGAGAGATTCGTGTTTTTTTCGTATAGTTTTGATTTTTTCCTGATTTTATTTAAAAAAATTTTTAAAAACCAATTTCACATTCCCACTGCCACTTTTTCTTCTCTACAAGATTGCGGTATTAAATTTAAAATCCAACGTTTCGTTCCTCTGGAATCATCATCAATTTATTTATTTTTAAACGGACCTGCTTTTTTTACTGTGTTATCGACAAATTAAAAACATTATCGGTTTTAGGATATCCAAAGATGACAAAATCGCAAATAAAAAATCCGGGTCCGTATTTAAAAAAAGTAAGTTGATGATGGCCGTCTGAAGACGAAACGTCAAATTTTAAATTTAGTAGCATCATCTTCTAAAGGGGAAAAAGTGACAATGATGAAGTGACATTTATTTTGAAATTGCTCTTCAAATAAGCACTGGAAAAAATAAAAACGATTTTACAAAATTTCGATTTTTTCCGAATATCTCCGGAAGTATTCGGAATCTTTCCAATTTCAAAACGGCATTCTATTGATCATAAAATTGCGCAACTTTGCCATAATTTAACCGACCCCGTATCTCTTACAGTTTCCGATATCCCAATGATGAGGTTCGAATTTGGACCACCCTGTACATGTATTAATAATCGCTTTTGGAACATACTTGCAAAACAGTTTTTTGTTCCATTAACACGTGTATGCACCGTATGCACTTGGGAGTTAAATCTCGCGCAATTCGAAAATTTGCATATAAAAAGGAAGTAAGAATCTGGTTTTATGCCCGATTGCACCATCTCTCTTAACTGAGACTTAACGATAACTATCCCTTAAATTGACAGTTTTGCATGGGAAAATGTCACTTTAAGGAATAGTTATCTCTAAGCCTCGGTTAAGAGAGACGGTGCAATCAAGCATTAGCAACTAATCTGGATTAAGTCCTTAAGGTGCATTTGGGCGTAAGTGTTGGAGAAACTGATATTTATATCAGTGAAACAAAAATTAATAAATTAAACTTTGATTATTAGCCTATACTTTGCTAATTTATATCGCAGCTATGGATGACTGAATGTGTTTATAATAGTTTTTATATGTAAGATGAACAGATGAGGAATCGTTTACTTAAGAAAGGGTTTGTAATTCTTTGTCTTGATGTTGAGTCAGTTCGTATAGTTATTTCTACGAGTTCACACGCTCTGCTTTCCACTCTGTGTTCGATATAATAAATATATTGAATATCGATAATTAACAAGTTCTTTTATTTCTTAGTCCATTTCCCAACAGTAAGAGTAATATAATCATACATACCTGAATCACCTAAAAGGTAAAACAAGTTATTAATATTTTGGCGATATACTTGTTCCATGATATTAGATATATTGGATTGTTTCCAAATATGAATATCGTTACAACTTCCTGGGAATCTTGAGTCAACATTCAGGATTTTTAAGTTTTCGTCGCATATCTAAAATATGATTATTCTGGTAGAGTTTATGTTGGAGCTGTGATAAACGATAAAAGCAACGATACTAATGATACTTTACATTAGTATCGTTGCTTTTATCGTTTATCACAGCTCCAACATAAACACGGCATATAATATAGCAACAAAGGAATGTAGGTATAGTAAGTTCGAATTATATACTCAGCAAAAGTATTAATATTTACCAACTGAACATTAATCGAATGGTAATTTTTTCTGTTTACATAGACATTTTCAGGGTATTCTTGCCCAGATGGAGTCGTTATTGCCACATGGGTACAATCTATTAGTCCAACTACACCAGGAAATTGATACTTTTGATAAAACCTTGAAACATACAATTTTAGAATTCGAAAACAGATTTCAGATTCTCTGTTTCTTGGATATTTTTAATATTTTAATGCCTAATTTAATATTTTTGTTTGTTGTGTGAATATAAAACGATCATCATCTTCGCTACTTACCTTATTCTTAGATTTTCCATTTCTTCAATATTTCTTGGAAATTTTATCCATTGATTTAAAATTTGGATTTGATTTAATGCGTCTGTGACCTCAGTTATACACCTAGATGCACTTGGCTGACTAATCGCAGTAAATAAATTACTCCCCACTATTTCCTGGTAACTTCCAGTGCCATAAAATCGAAAAGCTACCAACACCTAATAAGAAAACACATAGTGAACATACTTACCATTATTCATATTCATAATTATTAATTAAACTAAAGCTGGATTTATACAGCAAATAAAATAAAATAAAATAAAATAACAAATAAGAAATAACAAATAGAAAATGCGATGCGATAAGAAATAATTTTCGACCAATGGAAATATATGTTTTGCACATGCCCCTGTCCAACCAGATTTCAAATTCAAATTTGATGTCGTTAACGTTAAGTGAGGTTAAGTTTTTGTTATTTGATTTTTAAATTTTTGGAAAGCGGGAAGCCGGTTTTTCAAGTTTATTGTTCTTTTTTTGTGTTTTGTGGAGTGCAAACGCCAAACATGGATGATGGATTATTAATTGAGCAAGTTGCAGGGTTTCCTGCTCTATTCAATAAAAACGATTGCCGCTTTAAAAATAAAACGGCCAGAGAGCAGGCATGGCAAACCATTGCCGAAATTATGGGTTGTTCTGGTAAAGTTTTAGTGAAGTTTTGAAAAGTACAAGCAATTCATTTTTTTTATTTTAGTTGAAGACTGCAGCAATAGGTGGGTTGTTTTAAGGGCGAAATATACCACTCTCAAAAAACAAATCAGAGAAACCCCGTCTGGATCCGCGGGGTTCTCAATTTCCTGGCCACATTATGAGGCAATGGGGTTCTTGGACCCATTTTTGGTGACGAGAAGGTAGAGTTTTCTCAGATTATAGTTGATTTTGAAGTTATCTTTATTTAAAAAAAAAAGGTGTTGGTTTGATCAAATCAATTTAAGTGGGCTTGAAAAAAGGGAACATTTTAGAAATGCTCTATTTCTTTTAGGACTATATCAAACATTAAATTGAAATACCAGAACATCTCTAATCTAGAGTCTTCGGAGCAAGGGCAAGGACCATCTTCAATTTGGGACACAATGTCCCAACTTGAATTTTCAGATGTTTCTGTGGGTGCTCCGGAGACTGAAGATTCTGTGACTGAAGTCACTGATGAGACAGACTTCTCACCCCCGCCAACTCCAGATCCTATTTCAAAGAGTGGAACTCCTACCACATCACATTCTCAACTATCGACTACTTCGACTTCATTCAGCTCATTCAATCAAAAAATGGCAGCACTTAGGAGGCAGAATACAAAAGGCAGGGGTGGTGCAATGGGTGGTACCAAGCGGAATGCGCAAGAAGCGATGTGCCACAGCATCACTTCAGCCATAGGTGACTTCCAGAAGAGACATCAGGCTTATAGTGAAGGAATCGAGAATATGGCCCCTTCAAGCTGGGCCAAAAGTCTTGCAGAAGACATGCTGGTTTTGTCGCCAAGCCAAAGGATCATTTTCAAAAAAAAATGTTACGACATTTTGGCAGAAATGGTACAAAACACACAGGAATGAAAGACTTTTGGCCCTGCTTGAAATGCCTTCAAAATATTAGGTAGTTTTAGTTTAGTTCTATTATTTATTATTTGAGAATGTTGTATTTGATTTATTGAAATTTTAGGAATGTTTTTTTTTTTTGAGATACATTTAAAATTTAAGTTATTTAAAAATGTTACATTTAATTATGTTATGTCATGTAAAATAGGTAGTTATTTATTCAATAAACAATTTTTTTTTTCTTTGATACCAAACTGTTTTCAAATTTCGTTTGCATTTTTGTAGGAACATGTTTCTGCAAAGCTAAGTACACCATTTTGAGTTTTTTGATAGTATTTTATTTCACGCACAAAATATACAAACTAAAATAACCTAGTTCTCCTAAATAGACCTATAATAAACCACCTAGGCCACATACAATAGTTATTTGTGTAACCAGTTGGGAAAAGCACTACTGGATTTTTGCAGAACAAGCGAAGCGAGTTTCGCAAAAGGAAGCGTTACGAAAAATAGTGTTTTATACAATATTTTTTCTGATTTTGATTTTTTTAAGGAGCATCTCCAAACTATGGTTACAAACATTATGAATGATTTGTAGTAGGAACTTGTATCAAAAATTAATATAGCTATTTATTATTTATGTAACAAGTTGTAAAATGAGCGTGTTTTTTTTGCACTAAATGTGAGGATTGTGTGCAAAAAACCAGCCATTTTGCGACGTGTTTCATACAAGATTTTTTGTGATTCATTCAAAATATTTAAAATTCAGAATATAAACGCATTTTAATACTGACACGGAACACTCTAAATCCCATTTTAACACTCAGTGATGAGATGAGATCTCATTTCAACACTGTTGTATTAGATCACACTGCTTATTTTGGCGTTTATGTTGAAATGAACCACTTTTGACAACTAAAATAAATGTCAAAAAGATGCCATTTCGTAACTGAATTACAAAATAGGGCCGGGTTCAGAAATAACGCACAGGGTGCGAGTGCGATTTTATGGGTGTGCCTGAATTGACAATTGGCCATTGGGCCTTATAGCACCGTTCAGCATTTTTGAACAGCTAGGGCGTCGCACCGGTGTCACACTCACACTGGGTGTGTCATTCCTGAACTCGCCCCAGCTAAATTCTATATTTTTTTTAAAGGTAAAAGTCAAAATGACATTAAAGTGCGTTTTTTTTTAAGATAAAAGTCAAACTGACATTATGTTGGCAATACAATGTAAAATTGTCAATGCTTTCAAATTTTTTATGTAGAAAAGGCTTGTGTTGCCAACATAGTTACTAAATTTTTGACTTGGGGAATTATCTTAAAAAAAAAAACAGACAATATTAGTTGTGTTATTGGGTACATTCAGGCATTGCCAGCGGCTAAGCTCAGCCACTCAGCAGGGACTTTATTCTCGAAGCAGGGGAGCAGCATTCTCATGAGAACGAAGGTTCTATCTTCGTCGTCTGTATTCATATTTCCATAACACTGACAATGACAGAGCAAGCTGTTCCTCGGTTTCGAGAATAAAGTCCCTGCTGAGTGGCTGAGCTTAGCCGGTGGCACCGCCTGAATGTATCCACAGATTCATAACACCTCTAGTTGTGTAATGAGTCTCATAACATAAAGCATATACTAGAAAAATGGCTTTGTAAAAACGTAATAACTAAACGATTGTAGATATAGACCTTAAAATAGGGACTGTTTCGTGGAGTATTTTTTTTTTGTCTGCCATTTTGAGAGCTGAATGTGGCTAATTAGCTCATGAGAATATGAGTGATTTCAATGCCACAGATGCTTTTCAATAGCTGAAAATGTGGGATGGGAGTCAACTTGCAAGAGAAAAGTATACAACTTTCCGCATTTATTTTCTGTCTAGCAATCAAGAGGATAAAAGGTTTTGTTATGAGAATGAAATGTTTCGTTGTGAAAATAATGCTGAAAAATCGCCAGACAGTTATCACAGTTTGAAATTGAGAAGAAATTTGGAACAGAGAGCAGGCATTAAAACCACTTATATTCTCATCAGCTAACTATCCACATTCCACAATCAGCCCTCAAAATGCCAGACAAAAAAAAATGACTCCACTAAACACTCCCTATCTGCAGGTCTGATAAAGCAAATAATACTGAAAGTCAAATTGCTAGTGTGTTAATTAATTTGCATTTTCCCTAAAGTAATCTGGTACGCCATATTGGTATAATTGATCCAGCTGGTACTGAAGGGCTCCCAAGGGTGATATCAGCCAGTCAGCTAGATAGTCTCTTAGCACACGTACTTTTCTGGAGAAATTGTTTGCCCCCAATCGACCAATACTTTTCAAATCAGCTCCCGAATCCAGCCGCCATTTTCCAGGTTGAACATTTCCCTTTTCATCCTCCCAATCAACAAAGCCTTCCTCCCCCTTTTGTAAAAAATTATGTAGAACTACGGTTGCCATAATAATGAGTTCACAAGTTTCCTCATTTCCTATTATAGGGTTCCGTAGTCTCCTCCATCGCTGAGCTAAAATGCCAAAAGTATTTTCAATGATTCTCCTAGCCCTTGACAACCTCATGTTGAAAATATTTTTTTTTCATCCAAAAAATTCCCAGGATATGGCCTCATTATATTTGAATGCAAAGGAAATGCTGCATCTGCAGCAAAAAAGAAGGGAAAAGGGATGTCAGTTCCAGGTAGAGCTTCAGGCTCAGGAAGAGAGAGGGTGCCATTAATTAAAGCTTTTCCATAACTTGATTCCCTGAAAACTGCCGAATCATGACTTGAACCAGGTGCTCCAATGTCCACATAAGTAAATTTATAGTATCCATCACATGCGGCCATAAGAATCATGCTAAAACAAAAACAAGTTTTTTTTTGTAAAAAATTATCCTAAAAATTATAAATGATGCATAAATACAAAAAACAAAATTCTGATCTACCTGAATGATTTTTTATAGGAAAAATAGGAGGTTCCAGAATGATTTGGACATTGAACCAACACATGCTTCCCATCTACTGCTCCTATACAATTTGGAAGATTCCATCTCAGAAGATTTTCTCTTGCAATTTTTTTTAGCTGCATCGGTGTTGGTTCAGGAAGTACCAAAGGTTTCAAAACTTCCCACAATACTTTACAAGTATGTTTGATGATACAGTGGGCTGTAGTCTTGCCTATGTAGTTGTTCCAAGCAATTTCTTGCATAGAGCAACCTTCAGCTAAGTAACTTAAAACAAAACAAGAATGAAAGAAGGACCACTTGATTAATATCCAAAACTACTTACTGCAATGTAATAGCAAGCCGTTGCTTAGGCGATATAGGGTTTTTTGTCTTGTCCTTTTGTAGGTATGGCTCAACAAGGCTCAGGAGATAATTGAATAAAGCAGGAGTCATCCTTGTGTATTTGAAAAACTGTTCAATATCATTTGTTTCAGCATATTTTAACAGCCTCTCAAAAACACTATGAGCTGCTCTTTGACGATTTAATGGTCTTATTTTAAATCTCCTTCGTTTCCTAACTCCTGTTAGGCAAATAGCAGTCGCTGCCGCAGCCAACAGAATCAAAAACTCCAGCTCAAATGCTTCAGATTCGTAATCAGAATTCATCTACAACAAAAAAATGGTAGGTAAAACGTTTCCCCCATATTTGGAATCAAGTATAAATAAGCCAGACTCAATTTAACTATATTATTACCACTTACCTTTATTAAAAACACTCCAGAATATAAAAAAAATGAATTTTCCTCAGAATTTTCAAAATTTTCAACACATAAACAACCAACCGAAAGTGAGGTTACGTTCACGAGATACATATGGTATTCGTATTTTACGAAAACAGATGACGAAAAATCAATAAATAGACACATGCGCACATCCATTTTCACATAAAATAAGATATAAAGTTAAAAGTTGGGCAACTTTTATTTTATTTTATTTCTTATGTTATTTGTTATTTTTTGTATAAACACTTTAAGGGTATCTCATGCGGTTAACTGTTATGTCTTATTTGTTATTTTATCTTATCTTATTTTATTTGCTGTATAAATCCAGCTTAACTTCGTCAAAACATACTCACCTTTGTGCAAATATCTATTGCCGATATTCTTGCAGGGGCTTTTAAATATGGAGTTACCATAGCTATAAGGGTCCTAGTAAGTTCTTTAGAAAGTCTAAATAACTTGATGAATTTAGTATCTTCAAGCTCAAAGGGATCCAAAGCTTGATACATTCTTCTTGGAGGATGATGTTCTAGATTTTCCGCTTCTGTAGGTCAAATACTTAATCTAGTAATTGTTTAATTAAAAAAAAACTGTGCACTGCACTAAAATACCTTGTAGATTGTTGAGCAATTCAATATTCCAAAAAGCAGCTCTTTGGAATGGTTCCATTTTAGATCATTGTCGAATAGTAAAAAAAATCGATTTTGGTTTATCATTCGCTTTGTTTAAAATAAAATGACAGTTCCGTTGCTATAGTAACTACGCGAAAATAAGTCCAATCAAAAAGCGTTATGGCCAGCATTCTCCTAGGAACGGGCCTTCTTCCGAAAAAGTACAGGAGAAGCGTGTTCTCTTGAAAACCGGGGATGTGACCGATCACTTTGTTTCAAGAATACGGTTTTAAGGTTTTCGAGAGAACCACGCATCTGTTCTCATGAGAACGCTGTTCCCCGATTTCGAGAATTAGTGCGTTTTCACACGATACCATACGCGATACCATATATTGCTGGCGATTTCGGTAAACAGCTTTCACACGGAGCGATTATCGCGCTACCATTGAAAAGCCATTAATTTGATTAAATTCGCGATGTTGCCGTTCAGTCCATTATAAACGTGTAAATTTCCGTCCAAGCTTTCCCCCGTTTAATTTTATCCTTATATTCCTCAGTTGTTTTGTCCCAGATGCATGGTCTTTGTTCAATTAATTCAATTAGGTCCAGAGGATCAAACGCGCACTGAACCCTTTTCGCCATCTTGCAACGTTGTCGACTGAAGTCTGAGCGATTTATAGTTTTGCGTGTAAAGACAGGCATATACT